TTCCGAGTGGGCAAACGAAAGTAATATGTATGCAACGACAACAACAACAGCTTTTGAGAAACGTACGTCTGGCACAAGTGACTTTTTGCTCTGCAGGCCGGCACTCTCATCTGAGCTTACTCGGCTGTGGGTTTACCGCGAGCACTTTACAAATCCCAAGGATATTTTTCGAGTAGTCAAACGACAGTAATATGCAAATCGGCTTTCCTTTCCCATCACAGAGTGGTTCAGGGTTGGCTATTTTAAAAATACAATCTTGAAAAAGTCAGGCCGGCATCGCTGAGGTGCGGCAGAGATCTGCTTAAGGGTGTGTTGCACTCCCTTTCGCGAAGCTACTGGCGAATTTTAAAGGGGTTACAAGAAAACGGTAAACTGACGCTCAGATCTAATTTACAGAATTTGGCATTTGACTTCTCGACAACTATCAGGGAGGCATTTAGTTTTCTGTACACCTCTTCTTTTAATATCAATTCAAAAGTAATTTACACATGTATAAGTATTGTTCATATTGAAACTTGATTCGCTGAGTTAACTTTGAATTCGTAACTGACCATCTCCCGCGCGCATCAACTGCGTAGCAAAAGACAGCTGACAACGCCGAAAACAGTCGCACTCAGTTGATTTGTGAAAGGCTGTAAGGACGGAAATCTTATTATATCATGCACTTTATACTGTATATACATGCTTTCTGTGTCTGGTACAAAAGAATAGAATAACATATGAAGGCCTTTAGGACTATAAAGACCACTATAAAGTTCTTTATACAAGTCTCGCGTTTTCTTTGGAGGTTCTAGTCATCAGACAAATCCTTGTTATCAGATGAATAGAGTTCAATAACATATTTTTAGTGGTTTGAAACAGCAGTTCTACAGTATTCTTTTGGTTTTCCAAAGCATTCCATAGTATCTTTCTATGACTTACGAATTTCATAGTCCAGCCATGATAGTTTGAGCCTGCAGACTGCGTTCTTGAGTGCTTAGTGTGGACGCAGCAGCTAACAGCTCACCACACCTTCATAAAAATATACAGACAAAATTATCCATTAGTACAGGAGATATTAAAGGAGCAAGTTTGAACGAATTTAGGTGTTTTAACAATTCTGGTCAGATACGACTTACCGTTTTTGTTCCTGAATTTCTGATTCAACAGTTTTTGACAATCCTTCCATTTCCTTAGCAAATGAATCAACCTGAATGATTGGAGAATGAATTCATTAAACATCGCACTACATATGGTACCGGCCGGAATATGACACTCAGTAAATTTGCCTTGAATACTGTATATATACCAACAAATGTAAATGCAAGGCGGGCTACGTTGACCAAAGTCGACCTAGCAAAATCAGAACATTTCAGATGCAAGCTGTTTGGTTGAAAGGGATGCTAATGCTGAATGACTGTATATTGACTAACGTTTTTTACGGTTACTGTCCACAAACCCCTTATTAGTTTGTACTCCTGAAAAACTCTTAAAGTTCTTCAGATTTGGAATGTGAAAATACCGTATTTATTCGATAACACGCCGCTACGTTTATTACATTTTTAGCGTTTCCAATGCTGCGTTTATTCAAGGGCGGCGTTTATTTCGAAATCGCTTTTTTTTAAATCACTGACAACAGTTATTGTAAATCCTTTGTAAATATTATGTAATTTAAAGATTCCAGTGTCTCCCTTATTTTGCTGAGATAGAATCATAAATGTCTGGATGGTGTGAATTACCAAGTTCTACAGAGGTTTTTCTTATTATCCTCGAGTAAAAGCCGCATTCTTCTGATTAGGTGCGGCGTTTATTCGAGGGCGGCGTTTAATCGAATAAATACGGTAATACTTCAACGACAAATTCTATCGCCTAGTCATTTGTTTGTCAAAAGCTTTTTGTTTGTATGTCTGTTTGTTTAGTGTGTTTTCGTTCTCCTCGCATAGCGATACACTACATTCGCTTCTAATTCACCTTCTGCTGCTTATGCTTCGTAAGCTCATCAATTTCTCCCAACAGCCTTTCACTCTCATCCAGGACAGCGAAGAGTTCGTCTACAATATGAACGATCAAGAGCTAAAGTCAATCTTTGTCTAAAATAACACGCCTACAAACTTACTGTACTTAATAATTTCTAAATCGAAAAGAGTGAGTTAAAGTAAAACATATTAGTCCGCATCTTTCCTACAATTCATCACCCTGACCAAAGGGTACAAACTAAAGATGTAAGGTAAAAGATCTTGACCAAAACACCACACGGTTACATACGGGTACCATACGAGTAACATACGGGTACATACACCTCAACTCCTTATAGGTTTACAATATAGTAATTCCTTCGGGTTTTATTTTCTAACACTCAAGCAAAAACGGCTATAACATTAAAATGTATGTCATATTAATCGCTATAAATCAGTGAAGGCAGCATGGCCGAGCAGTTAAAGCGCTGGAATTGCAATCGAAAGGCTCTGAGTTCAATCCCCGCTCTAATCGCTAGCTGGATTTGTTGTTAGTAGTCCAGAGTGTAACTTCTAGGCAACGCTTGTAAATAGTCAACTGGTTTGCCTCCGGCCAGTTGCGAATCTTAACCATATATGTTTATTTCAATTATTTGTCTCTGCCCTTCAATATTCGTGGGTCATCATGTAAACTATTGGGTTACCTGTAATTTTGTTACGCCTACAAAATTACTTTAATCGGAATTCCTACCATGGTTATCAGGTAGAAAGACTCCATTAACAGACATGTGATGTCTAGTGGTGTCTAATGCTGCAGCTAGTTTACTATACTCCAAGATCAACTTGAGCATGTTGGTGCCGATCGGCTTCAGTCCTGACATCTGCAAAACACAAAATACCCGAAAGCAAATTCGACCTTTACAGTAAGGATACAAAGTGACGCCAAGTTTCTTTAGTTTTCTTTCTTTTTACTAATTTATTTTTTCCGGGAGGGGGAGGGGCTAAGCGCAGCCTCCAGCAGTGGGTGTCTCGATGGGCCCGCGGTTGGGAGAACCGTGGGCGCATCGAGACACCCACGGCTGGAGACTGGGCCTAGGGCGAAAGTCACAAGGTCACATCAGTTTTACAAAAGCTTAGTATAGCACATTAATACGTGACCCAAACAAAATAATTATATCAATAAAACAGATACCAAGTATTTAGAATGAAAATGATTCAAAAAACGGTGACTAAGCTCACTAGGGCACAGTATAAAGTGCAGCTGTTTGAACATCTGTCGTTTTAAAATGTCCCTTTTGGAAATGTTTTCTTGGCACTGGGACGCAGTTTAGAGGCCGTTGCCGACACAAGAATGAATGAATAAATGGGCAAAAGCAGGGTAGAAGAATGGCAGCTGCTGACAGTTGACCTTGTGGATGTGAGGGAATGAACCTTTGCATGTCAAACTACACAAGGTTCGAATAAGGATGAAAAGTTTTTTAAAACTCCTGTGCCGGAAGTCCCAGGTCTAGTCACAGATTGAAAAGTTGTTGAATAAAGCTGTAGAGGAACTGGACTTTCAGGAGCTTGTGTGAGGATGCTTTCTCTGATTGGCCGATCACGGAAAGGCAAGCGATTCAAAGAAACAATGAGAAATCGAACCAAACACATGTGGCCGGCCTTAGGCGCGGGAAAACTTGTTCCCTTTTATCATCAGTTGCTAGAAGTGGCGCGAAAAATCCAGGCAGTACAATCGCTAAATTAGTTTCGACCAACGTTCCGACATTCATCGAAAACCCCGCTCGAAGTCACTCATGCACCAACAAAGAAAGCAAATGATGTATCCGCCATACCTGAAGCTGTATCTGTTTATCTAGTTCGGCAATTTTAGTTTTCATTTTCAGTTGTAACTCCAGGTTGGCTACTTCGCGTTGTAGTTTCTCTTTCTCTTGCCATACCGAGTACATCTGAACCTAAAACGCGATAAGACAAGGTTTATACTAAATGTATAAATTAAAGTAAATAGTATCTAAAACGCGAGATAATTACACTGAATCAGAAAGCTACCTGGGCATCTTTTTCTTTCTGGGAAAATGAATGTTTCAGCTGAAAAAAAAGGAAAAAACAAAAAACAAACAAAAGTAGTAAAGTGATTAAGATACGTTCTGAAAAGGTAGATTTGCCTCACAGACGCGGGACTACGGAAAGAAGGGGCCACGAGGCCCATGTGATCCCCCAAAGCGTAACGCAAGCTACCCTAGATTAGGCAGGGAAGTACTGTATGCCTGGGGCACAAAAATCCTTACCAACTTAAGGTAAGATAATTCGGGCAACAAGAACGTGCAACTTAAAATTCTTTTGCAACATTGCTGCAAAATGAACCGAGAAGCGATGTTGCGCGTTTTACCAGCACGTTCAATCCTGTCTTGAAACAAATCTGGTTGTTGCAAGTTGCGAAAACTTGTTGCAGAAAGTAGAGGGTAGTTCTACTTTTTGCAACAAAATCTGAACATGTTCCGTGCTCTACTGGCCCAAAGCAAACTTGTTTTGCAGCAAGTGACGTTAACTCCCGTGTATGGCGTGACTCCCGCGTAATTTCATCCACTCAGCAATCAGTATTCACTCAACTTGCAGCAACCTTCATTTGTTGCAATACACGTGGGTGGCAAAACGTGCAACATCGCTCTGCAGCATGTTGCAAAGCAAGTTGCACGTTTTTCTTTCCCGTTTTACCGTATCTTTAGAGTGGCGTTGGAGTTAAAGCTACAGACTCGCTGTATAATTCCTTTACTGGACTATCACTTTATTATTTCCACTTTATTGCCTTCTGTATCAGCCTTTGGGGGGCGGAAACTTCTTCGCCTTGTCGTGCAGATCAATTAGCGTTCATGAGATAAAGTGGAATTTGGGACGTTTTTCTTCAAAATCGCGGTTTTTACCAAATAAGTTATGCGCAGAAACGTTTGCAAGAGGGACGCAATTTTAACTTCCCCCGATAGAAAATCAAAATTGAAAGTCTTACCCTTGAATACAAAAAAGCAGCTTGCACAACTCTTGAATACTGAAGCTCAAGCTGGCGTTGTGAGATATCCTGATCCATTTCCGAGGATGTATGACCAACCTAAAACACACCGTAATAAATGCGATAAATTTTCCTACTAACCGTAGGTAGGCTTTTACGCTGTGTGCACTCAGCCCTTCTATACACTACAGCTCAGAAACTGAACTAACAAAACTAACGTTATTAAGAGAGGGTGAAAGACTTTTCTACCTGTCGCTCGGGGGGTGGAGGGGGGAAACTTCCTAGTAGTAGGCTAATGGGTGCGGGACGCCGGATGGGGTCGCATTTTCACGACTGGATTGGCTATTATGGGCTTGCACTTTAATAGGAGTTACTACAATGGGGTCACACATTTTCAGGATTTTGGGGGTCAGAAAAGTTAGGTATGTAGGGATTTAAAAATAGAAAGATTTACACCACATTAACCCAAGTAACCCCCGGGGCCTGTCGCCCTCTAATTGTCTCCGACTAGTTTATCTTTTAGACACCTTCAAAGATCGAATTGGGTTTTGGACAGAATGGTTTTTGAAGTGGAGGGAAAACTGACGAAACCCGGCGGAGAAGAACCCCTTGGAGTAAAGAAAACAACTAACAACAAAATCGACCCACGTATGACGTCGCTTCCGGGATCCGAACTAAGGCTACAAAGGTGTGAGGTGAGCGCTCTCATGTCTGCGCCATCCCTACACAGCAGTACGAAAGCATGTGAGTAGCAGAAGTTACACATCAATGTTACTCATTGCTAGATCCTACCTCAGATGGAACTGGAGGCTTTGTTGTCACATGATCTGCTTGCAGTGAATGAGCTTGAGATGAGCCTTAAAAGATATATGTAAAAAAGCAATGTTTACAGATGATTTTCAATTCACGACACAACACTATCAAAAAACACAATCAGCTGGCTGGAGCCATGTAAAAATTGAAGTATGACTGATAATCAGTGAAGAGAGGAACAGCTACGTGGTAATATTCATGCAGACCTAAAACAAAGCTACAAATAATTTTTCTTTCTTAACGTACGTCTGGCTAAGTCACCATTTTGGACAGACCAAACACAAAAGTAAGGTCGCAGTCAATTAAAGAGGCATTACGCGACTTTAATAAAAATGTGCACGGTAAGCGCGGGATTCGCTGGCGAACGGATTACAGTCAAATATTTCTTACAAAAATGTTCAACGTCGTTTATGTGACAACTGACAAGCGATCAAGGTAGACTGTGTTAGTCTAGGCGTCAGATATTAGATTGTCTTTGGTATGAACTTTGTCCGTACATCGTGTCCGACAACAGATCAAATTTTTTTGGACATGCACCAATTTTAGTCGGGAATAATGGAGTTTAAGCAACGAAGACGATGACGGTGTCGAAACAACTCTTAAACGGTGAATTCGCGCTGTTTCATAATTCATCGCTCTTATTCCATAGCGCTCAATTTGTTAAATTTGATAAAAGTTGGTGATTTTTTACTGAAGTTGAATTCTACTGAAAGGACTGTATCTGTAGGTTTAAAAATACAGTGAAAAATAGCATGAGAAAATCATTGTCTTGTGCTCAGGTCTTCTACAAAACGTGAAATTAGGAATTTTCCCGTCGTAGTTGTACAAAAACGGCAAAGAAGTGTTATTTATGACGTTTACCTGTCGACTTGACAGCTTGTTTTTTCGTTACAACTGCAGCTTGCGATTTAGATTTATCACGAGCGACTTTTTTAACAGCTGCAGCACCTCCACCATGCACCCGGGTAGATGTTGGGATTCCCTGTGGTAAGATAGGGGTGGGGGCTGCCATGTGAGCAGGGGGGTCAACACCAACCATGCCGTCAGCTGGAGTGGAAGTCACTAAGCCTTTCTTCTGTGATGTGTGTCGCACAAAAGGTGTATTGACGCCTAAGTTCAGGCCGCTGTCATATGAGTGTGAGTGGATTAAAGACTGATCTCTAGATTTAGGCGCTGCTGTTTGTGCCTTGGCTTTCTTCTTAGTAGGCAGTGCAACCTCCTGTGAATGAAGCATTAGAACCATACAAAGACTATAAATGCAGGGAATGGGTCTTAAGCACAGGTTTCTTTACAGAAGCCAGCAAATGGCGGAATTCCGTCGGCTGTGAGCAGTTACTTGTAGTCACTAGCCTAGGACCAGGATAGGATACTTCAAAATTTGTATGAAATACAATGAAACATGATTCAAGTCTTTCTGATACCTTTCCCGCTGCCTTTTTTGTGATCTTTGCTTTCTCCATGTACCTGGAGGGAACAATACGAGCTGAAAAGTAAAAATGAACATTAATTTAACTTGTTGCCTGAAATTCATTGAAGATTGTTGTTGTTGTTGTTGTTGTTGTTTGTTTGTATGCAAAATTGAAAGCATGGATCGAGAGGAAATAAGTCTGGCAGGTTTTTTATAATAAATAATCAATTTTGAAATGTTGATTGGGCTTAGACCTCACCAGTCTTCTGTTTCTTTTTCTTCAATTTCGAATTTGGTTTTTCGTCACCTGGTAAACTGAAAAGAAGCCAACAAAATCAGCACTTTTATTTATTTCAATAATCTTATTTTTGCCTACATAATATAAAAGTAACTCCAGGTTGGCTACTTCGCGTTGTAGTTTCTCTTTCTCTTGCCATACCGAGTACATCTGAACCTAAAACGCGATAAGACAAGGTTTATACTAAATGTATAAATTAAAGTAAATAGTATCTAAAACGCGAGATAATTACACTGAATCAGAAAGCTACCTGGGCATCTTTTTCTTTCTGGGAAAATGAATGTTTCAGCTGAAAAAAAAGGAAAAAACAAAAAACAAACAAAAGTAGTAAAGTGATTAAGATACGTTCTGAAAAGGTAGATTTGCCTCACAGACGCGGGACTACGGAAAGAAGGGGCCACGAGGCCCATGTGATCCCCCAAAGCGTAACGCAAGCTACCCTAGATTAGGCAGGGAAGTACTGTATGCCTGGGGCACAAAAATCCTTACCAACTTAAGGTAAGATAATTCGGGCAACAAGAACGTGCAACTTAAAATTCTTTTGCAACATTGCTGCAAAATGAACCGAGAAGCGATGTTGCGCGTTTTACCAGCACGTTCAATCCTGTCTTGAAACAAATCTGGTTGTTGCAAGTTGCGAAAACTTGTTGCAGAAAGTAGAGGGTAGTTCTACTTTTTGCAACAAAATCTGAACATGTTCCGTGCTCTACTGGCCCAAAGCAAACTTGTTTTGCAGCAAGTGACGTTAACTCCCGTGTATGGCGTGACTCCCGCGTAATTTCATCCACTCAGCAATCAGTATTCACTCAACTTGCAGCAACCTTCATTTGTTGCAATACACGTGGGTGGCAAAACGTGCAACATCGCTCTGCAGCATGTTGCAAAGCAAGTTGCACGTTTTTCTTTCCCGTTTTACCGTATCTTTAGAGTGGCGTTGGAGTTAAAGCTACAGACTCGCTGTATAATTCCTTTACTGGACTATCACTTTATTATTTCCACTTTATTGCCTTCTGTATCAGCCTTTGGGGGGCGGAAACTTCTTCGCCTTGTCGTGCAGATCAATTAGCGTTCATGAGATAAAGTGGAATTTGGGACGTTTTTCTTCAAAATCGCGGTTTTTACCAAATAAGTTATGCGCAGAAACGTTTGCAAGAGGGACGCAATTTTAACTTCCCCCGATAGAAAATCAAAATTGAAAGTCTTACCCTTGAATACAAAAAAGCAGCTTGCACAACTCTTGAATACTGAAGCTCAAGCTGGCGTTGTGAGATATCCTGATCCATTTCCGAGGATGTATGACCAACCTAAAACACACCGTAATAAATGCGATAAATTTTCCTACTAACCGTAGGTAGGCTTTTACGCTGTGTGCACTCAGCCCTTCTATACACTACAGCTCAGAAACTGAACTAACAAAACTAACGTTATTAAGAGAGGGTGAAAGACTTTTCTACCTGTCGCTCGGGGGGTGGAGGGGGGAAACTTCCTAGTAGTAGGCTAATGGGTGCGGGACGCCGGATGGGGTCGCATTTTCACGACTGGATTGGCTATTATGGGCTTGCACTTTAATAGGAGTTACTACAATGGGGTCACACATTTTCAGGATTTTGGGGGTCAGAAAAGTTAGGTATGTAGGGATTTAAAAATAGAAAGATTTACACCACATTAACCCAAGTAACCCCCGGGGCCTGTCGCCCTCTAATTGTCTCCGACTAGTTTATCTTTTAGACACCTTCAAAGATCGAATTGGGTTTTGGACAGAATGGTTTTTGAAGTGGAGGGAAAACTGACGAAACCCGGCGGAGAAGAACCCCTTGGAGTAAAGAAAACAACTAACAACAAAATCGACCCACGTATGACGTCGCTTCCGGGATCCGAACTAAGGCTACAAAGGTGTGAGGTGAGCGCTCTCATGTCTGCGCCATCCCTACACAGCAGTACGAAAGCATGTGAGTAGCAGAAGTTACACATCAATGTTACTCATTGCTAGATCCTACCTCAGATGGAACTGGAGGCTTTGTTGTCACATGATCTGCTTGCAGTGAATGAGCTTGAGATGAGCCTTAAAAGATATATGTAAAAAAGCAATGTTTACAGATGATTTTCAATTCACGACACAACACTATCAAAAAACACAATCAGCTGGCTGGAGCCATGTAAAAATTGAAGTATGACTGATAATCAGTGAAGAGAGGAACAGCTACGTGGTAATATTCATGCAGACCTAAAACAAAGCTACAAATAATTTTTCTTTCTTAACGTACGTCTGGCTAAGTCACCATTTTGGACAGACCAAACACAAAAGTAAGGTCGCAGTCAATTAAAGAGGCATTACGCGACTTTAATAAAAATGTGCACGGTAAGCGCGGGATTCGCTGGCGAACGGATTACAGTCAAATATTTCTTACAAAAATGTTCAACGTCGTTTATGTGACAACTGACAAGCGATCAAGGTAGACTGTGTTAGTCTAGGCGTCAGATATTAGATTGTCTTTGGTATGAACTTTGTCCGTACATCGTGTCCGACAACAGATCAAATTTTTTTGGACATGCACCAATTTTAGTCGGGAATAATGGAGTTTAAGCAACGAAGACGATGACGGTGTCGAAACAACTCTTAAACGGTGAATTCGCGCTGTTTCATAATTCATCGCTCTTATTCCATAGCGCTCAATTTGTTAAATTTGATAAAAGTTGGTGATTTTTTACTGAAGTTGAATTCTACTGAAAGGACTGTATCTGTAGGTTTAAAAATACAGTGAAAAATAGCATGAGAAAATCATTGTCTTGTGCTCAGGTCTTCTACAAAACGTGAAATTAGGAATTTTCCCGTCGTAGTTGTACAAAAACGGCAAAGAAGTGTTATTTATGACGTTTACCTGTCGACTTGACAGCTTGTTTTTTCGTTACAACTGCAGCTTGCGATTTAGATTTATCACGAGCGACTTTTTTAACAGCTGCAGCACCTCCACCATGCACCCGGGTAGATGTTGGGATTCCCTGTGGTAAGATAGGGGTGGGGGCTGCCATGTGAGCAGGGGGGTCAACACCAACCATGCCGTCAGCTGGAGTGGAAGTCACTAAGCCTTTCTTCTGTGATGTGTGTCGCACAAAAGGTGTATTGACGCCTAAGTTCAGGCCGCTGTCATATGAGTGTGAGTGGATTAAAGACTGATCTCTAGATTTAGGCGCTGCTGTTTGTGCCTTGGCTTTCTTCTTAGTAGGCAGTGCAACCTCCTGTGAATGAAGCATTAGAACCATACAAAGACTATAAATGCAGGGAATGGGTCTTAAGCACAGGTTTCTTTACAGAAGCCAGCAAATGGCGGAATTCCGTCGGCTGTGAGCAGTTACTTGTAGTCACTAGCCTAGGACCAGGATAGGATACTTCAAAATTTGTATGAAATACAATGAAACATGATTCAAGTCTTTCTGATACCTTTCCCGCTGCCTTTTTTGTGATCTTTGCTTTCTCCATGTACCTGGAGGGAACAATACGAGCTGAAAAGTAAAAATGAACATTAATTTAACTTGTTGCCTGAAATTCATTGAAGATTGTTGTTGTTGTTGTTGTTGTTGTTTGTTTGTATGCAAAATTGAAAGCATGGATCGAGAGGAAATAAGTCTGGCAGGTTTTTTATAATAAATAATCAATTTTGAAATGTTGATTGGGCTTAGACCTCACCAGTCTTCTGTTTCTTTTTCTTCAATTTCGAATTTGGTTTTTCGTCACCTGGTAAACTGAAAAGAAGCCAACAAAATCAGCACTTTTATTTATTTCAATAATCTTATTTTTGCCTACATAATATAAATATATGAAAGTAGAAAACAATAATGGAAAACGTTTCAACTATGATTGACTAAGCCTCAAAAAAAAATATCCAATTTGTAAAACTTGAAGTTTACTTTGAATTTTAAATTGTGTGAACGTTATTGCCTCATATTAGCAGTCTCCAACATACTTGTGCAACTAAAACAACTGAAAGAACTACAGTATATATTTCCATATATTATTCTTATCTCAGGTTTTCACGGCAAAAGTTTTAGTCCATCAGTTTCCACACGTGGGTGGCATATTGCGTAGCCCTATACACCCCTAGTCAAGGTACATGTTCATACAGGTCCTCATCTACTACACCTGTTTTGACCACTTCTCTTAGCTGTGTTATGAAATGGCTTTGGGTAGTCACACAACAATCCTGAGGTAATCAAAGTCTTAGCCATCTATGAATCAAAGGACTTGACATGATCAGAATCTGATCTGAAAGTTTTTCATTTGTCTACAGTACTTACATATTAGACTGATCACCATCTCCAGTTTGTGAAGAAACATCTGGAACTAAACAGGTCATATATTTAGTCAATAAAGTTCATAAAAACGTTTTAACCTATTTTTATAACTATTGCAAAGAAAGTCAATTTTACAGCTTGCTGAAACATCTGGAACTAAATATTAAAAGTCATATATTCACTCAATAAAGTTCACAAAAATTTTTTAACCTACTGATGTGATTATTGCCAGGGTGCAAAGAAAGTCAATTTTACAGCTTGCCATTCAGACAAGCTGTTAGCTAGCAAGTACTTACTCAAGAGTCATGTTTCAACTAGCCCCCACAAAAATTTTGATCAGCAGGATTGATTTACAGTTCTTCCTTAATTTGAATTCCCCAAAAAACTTCATTTAAGAACAGAATTCCCAAGCCCAATAGCAAAATCCATTAGTCCTGGGCTATCGGACACTACTTTCTTTACACACTGTTTGTACATGTTAATATCCCATTGGATGGTGTGGTAAACACTTTATAAACACTTCATACACAACATATTTCTCTCTCCAACATTAACCCTAGGTTTTCAGTTTATGATAAAACTAGTTTAAGTTTCCTTGTCCACAAAAGGCTCATATTGCAGAAACTGAAAAATCACATGACAAAATCTACGAAGTTAGAAACCCAGTGATACCTAGTAAAAACTCCAAAAACTGACCAGTGCATTTAAATTGAGAATAACATCTTCATCTATGTGGAACAATTTCCTTTAGTTAAGAGTTTAGATAAGTCACAAAACAATATGACTTCTTTCCTTTACTACTATATTTATTTTATTATTTATACTGTACCTAATGAGAAATCAAAGAGTTGTTGCTTTATTTCTGATGTTGATAAATTAGAAGATAGTGGTGGAGGCTGGTATCCCTCTTCTCCTAAAAAGCTCTTGAACTGAGAAGCATCTCTTGTTTGCCTCTGCTCAGCAATTCTTGTTTCAGTAGCTAAACTCTCATGATCCAATGGGCTGTCACCTATCGAGTGTTCACTGGCCAGACTGTCTGTAAATATTCAGAAATATTTTAAATAATCATATGAAAATATCTACATGGCAATTTTTACTCTGCAATAAACCTAGCTTGTGTGTTACATTTAATCACAATCTGGCCGGCTGTCTGTCACTAAGGCTACTCAGTATATGAGTATTACCACTAGCTACTTCCAATCTACAGGGTTGTCAGAAAGTTTTGAATTAGATAGCTGAGTTGTCAAAGTAAGCGGCCAGCCCAGGGATATTTTATTTGGAAAACGTCATCCGTAAAGAAATGCCTAGCAGAGTATAGCCGGCCGATACTAACCAAGAAGGCGGCAATTTTCACCGGCAGCCAGCTAATTTTGACAACCCTACTTCCATAGGAAAAAATAGGAAAAAAGAAACAAAATAACTACCTGACTGTTCAATTTCCCACCAAATTACTGGATATAACTAGCAATTTAAAATCTTTACAGAGACATCCCTGACAATGTTTAACAATATATGAGCTCAATGATCATGCAAGTTCACTTACACATTTATGGGCCAAAAAAGCATTAAAGGGATAGCACTGTCATTTACTGAAGACTAGCATGATAAATTTCAATAATTTTAAAGTTTATTATTACTAATTATCATCATCATTATCATCATTATCAATCATCATCATCATCATTGTCATCATCAAAAATTTTAACTACTACTACTATTAGAAACTGCATTTTTATTTGAGAGANGCATCTCTTGTTTGCCTCTGCTCAGCAATTCTTGTTTCAGTAGCTAAACTCTCATGATCCAATGGGCTGTCACCTATCGAGTGTTCACTGGCCAGACTGTCTGTAAATATTCAGAAATATTTTAAATAATCATATGAAAATATCTACATGGCAATTTTTACTCTGCAATAAACCTAGCTTGTGTGTTACATTTAATCACAATCTGGCCGGCTGTCTGTCACTAAGGCTACTCAGTATATGAGTATTACCACTAGCTACTTCCAATCTACAGGGTTGTCAGAAAGTTTTGAATTAGATAGCTGAGTTGTCAAAGTAAGCGGCCAGCCCAGGGATATTTTATTTGGAAAACGTCATCCGTAAAGAAATGCCTAGCAGAGTATAGCCGGCCGATACTAACCAAGAAGGCGGCAATTTTCACCGGCAGCCAGCTAATTTTGACAACCCTACTTCCATAGGAAAAAATAGGAAAAAAGAAACAAAATAACTACCTGACTGTTCAATTTCCCACCAAATTACTGGATATAACTAGCAATTTAAAATCTTTACAGAGACATCCCTGACAATGTTTAACAATATATGAGCTCAATGATCATGCAAGTTCACTTACACATTTATGGGCCAAAAAAGCATTAAAGGGATAGCACTGTCATTTACTGAAGACTAGCATGATAAATTTCAATAATTTTAAAGTTTATTATTACTAATTATCATCATCATTATCATCATTATCAATCATCATCATCATCATTGTCATCATCAAAAATTTTAACTACTACTACTATTAGAAACTGCATTTTTATTTGAGAGAAGAAACGATCAAGGACTGCTGTTACTGATCCAATGGCATGTTGTACTCTTGAAACAAAACTACTCTGACTTTAATAATAATATTTTTATTAATTTTATTAAAGATCGCAAAACCTGGGCTAAAATGAGATGGTGATGGATCTCCCTTTCTTGCACTGGAGTCCAGTAGATTAACACTTGGAACACCGGCCACCTTAACTCTTCTCCCTGACTCTACATGACCAGTCACAGTGTTGACATTATCTGATCTCTGAAAAAGGCTAGAATTCTCTAAACCATTTCTATTCCTTCCCATACTTCGAGGTGAATGGCACACAACTCTCACTGGGGATTTAATTATGCCGGTAACAACAGGGACCTCAGCAAGGTCAGGACTCTTGTGGTGGCCTGTGGCATCAACCAAAAGAACTGGTGAAGTCTGTTGAGTTTCTCTTTGTTCAGGGTAAGTCACAACAGGTGAACGTCTGCAGAACATTAAACAGCAGTATACTACTTCAACATCCATCTTGGAGGCCAACCCAAGGGTCAGATATGGGCACTAGGACTCTGTTTTAGGGAGATTAAATATATCATTTAAATTACTGGGGGGTAGGTGCATACTGTTTTTCACATTGCCACCATCTTAAAAATAGCAAGATCTTGGGAACATGATTAAATAAGATTTCCTGAGAATGGATGCCTTTTCCTGCCCATATCTAAAAAAGGTATGGTGACAAGAAAAAGTGGCGACAGAGGGAAGAGAGTGTGCTTTTTGACATTTCTCATATACAGTTGACTCCCAATAACTCAAACCCTCGCTAACTCAAGCCTCGCGCTGACTCAAACCAAAGTCTATTTCCCCTGGATTTCCTTTATACATTTACTGTAATTTTACCCTTAGTAACTCGAACCCTTGATAACTCGGACCTTCCACTAACTCAAAGTACCTTTTGTTTCCCTTCAAATTATTACTATATAATTTTACCCTCGATAACTCGAGCCATGTTTTAAGCGCGTAATGAGTCGGAAAAAAAAAACAGTGTACCGTCCATCCGAAGCACTGAATTTATTTCAAAACAACCGTGTCAGTTCTTTTTCGTTACCTTTTATGTCACTCCAGTTCAAATTCAGTGTCCATCCCTGTGATGTGTGCATAATACTTGTTTTCCATCCTCATCTGTTTGCTTATTTGCTTACTTGCTTACTTCAGGTTAAATTTGCTTCTAACAACTCCCGACAACTCGATTTCCCTAGGAGGTTCGAGTTATCGGGAGTCGACTGTATGTCTCTTCTTTTCAATGGCTTCTTTAATTCTACAAGATGTAGGTGTCTTGGCTTGATTGCTATTTCTATTCTGTTTACATTGTCTTACATTACATCAGTGATTACATTCATATATGGGAAACGTCTAACCATGATCACGCCAAAATATGTGACTCTTTTTCTGCTCAGATTCATTCTACGCACAAAATACATACATACCAGGGACTTCAAAATGTTGCTACAAACATCTGAAAATACTCACGTCACAGTTGTGGGGCTTGCAAAATCCATGACTGACTCCGAGACAAGTAATCCTTGAGCAAGAGACTTCCTGACGATTTAAGACATTGACGCTTTAAAATAGGATAAACTATATGATATGATTTTTCAAACAAGCCCAAACTACCTGATTTGTGGAGGTGGAGTTTGTGAAGGAGCAGGATTATACAAACTTCGCTTCGAACTCGCCGCCATTTTGATGGAAGGGCGAGCTAGGTTTGTACCCAGGCCACTCAATCCGCACGGTCCAAGCTCGACCGGGGAACTGAGCAAATAAGCTGGTCACAGCTTTCCTCTAGCCTGCGTAGCAAAAGCGTAGCAAAAGCGTAGCAAGCGTTTCCGTTTGGTTTCGGAGCAAAGAAAGACCGGTTTTGGCCGCGCAAGAAATGAAACGAGAGCCATTTTTCGCGCAGTCTTTGACTCTCGTTCCTCGTTCTTCGTTCTTTGCTCCTAAACCTTCCTTCCCCTCCCTCTCCCCCTCTTTCATTTTTTGGCTCTCGTTTCATTTCTCGCGCGGCCAAAACCGGTCGAAACCAAACGGAAACGCTTGCTACGCAGGCTACGGCTCCCCCAAAACTTTAATCGTGCACCGAGACAATACCGCCAGCTACGCAGGCTAGACGAACATATTTCTTTGTTTGTTGTGTTTTTTTTCTCTTTGTAGTAGTATATTGAGACCCAGGGTGTACTAATACATTTTTTATTTCAAACAAAGACTCAGTCAATCCAAGATTGGTCAACTTGAGGAGGGTACAAGGGTCAAACCTGCAGCCCCCTCCCCCCCCCCCCGGAGGAGGGGGTTTATTTGTCCTTGTCGCTACTCCCCTCCTTTTTAAAAAAACTCTTTGACTCCTCTCATCTCTAGGCAAAACGGTTGGGCACTCAACGAGCGAATGTTTCCAAATACTCCAGAAGTGTCTCAAATGGTTTTCTCTGTGCTTTAGAAGCCTGTGGTTAATTTGGAGTTGCCCTAAAAATTGATTACCTGTTCGGATGTCTTTATTTTTTAACATTAGATGCGTCTTCAGTACCATAAGGACATTAACGCCGTGACCTCACATAATCTTGGTAAAAAAGGACGATGTTCTTTTCTTTTCGATTTCAGTTTCTTTTTGTTTAGATATTCTCCCTCTTTTTCTTTCCTTTTTGACATTGGTGGTGAGAAGGCCAAATAGCGCTAGCAACATACAAGGCAAACATTTCTCTCAGTAATTCCACAGCTTTTATTAAAACAACAGCAAATCCATATTTGATGACTATCCAGTTTTCTTACTACTTTTTGGAAAATCTTCAAATACCCAGTTCACATAGTAAATTCCAACTAGCTTTCTCCGTAGGTAACCCAACTGAAACTGCTTTACTTCCGTTGCGTAGAACGAGACCAGGAACGTGTTACTGAGTAGCCGCAGGGCTCCTGGTAGCCGCCAACCGCCACCGCGCGAGGTCAATGTGCCTCAGGAAGTCTAGCTCTTGAAAGAAGATCCTCGGGATTTGAGAGGCACCTGGAAGAGCACAATCCTCATCTTTATACAAGTACTCAAAATACGCTATTTAGGTAAAGGTGTGTCTCCAAGCACAGTGAAGGCTTGGATGTGAAGATGTCACCTGCTGACAACAGCAAAACTGTGTCCTCCACCACATCCAATCACACTCACACGAGAACCTTGAAGCTTGGCCACCACGCCTGGTAAGTGGATATTAATTTCATCCCCAGTGCCACAGATTCCGTGTTCATTCCAGCCCCAAGTCATGACAGAACCACAACCTAAGATAAAAAGAGAAAGCTACATATCAATTTCCGTCCGAAAGACGGAAGCAACAACAAGCCAAGCTTGTTAGCTCAATTGGTAGAGCGCTGCACCGACATCGCAGAGGTCAAGGCTTCGAATCCCGTACAACCCTGAATTTTTTTTCAGGCTTTCTTTTCGCAACTGCAAAAGTTGCGTCTATTACTTCAATGATCTTCTTTCATATAACTCTTCACTCCGCAGTTCTCATACATGATTTTCATATATTCATAACTTCAGAGTAACTGTTGTTGTTGTATTGCTTTATCAAAATTCAAACAGTGGAAATTGACACCAAACTGAGTGAAACATTAAACTGCTCAAAAAGTTAGAGTAAGGTATAAATGACACAACAAATACAAATGTAGCCTGCGTAGCAAGCGTTTCCGTTTGGTTTCGGTGCAAAAAGAGATCGTGGAAGGGGATTTTCGATTTTGATCGCGCGAGAATTTAAACGAGTACCAAAAAATGAAAGAGGGGGGAGGGGAAGGGCAAGGAAGGAAACAAATGTCAAATGTCGGTGCGTGAACTCAGACATGACAGGCCAAGTAGGCTATTTTCAAAACCAAGGGGTTTCCTTCCTTTCTCCCCCACCCCCTCCCCGCTCGTTTACTTGCGCCATTTTTAGCGCGGTCTTTGTCTCTTGTTCCGCGTTTTTTGCTCTAAACCGCACAGAAACGCTTGCTACGCAGGCTAATAAAAATGGAGCCACGGATGGACAAACTTGAAGAAGATTGAAACGGATTCCAATTGTGGGTTTTGAAACCTTGTTAGCCTAACAGTTTTCAAGTTCATTTTTGTAGTTTGTAACGTTTGATATAATCTTGGGAAACATATTTGTTTGACAAAACTGTGATCTTGCCTGGCATTTACAAGTAATTTCTCAAGTTTCATAACGAGTAAAGACGCGTAACTGGCTTTAGAAACAAAATGAACAGGGAAGCTGTGACACAGTCAATTAAATGTTAACCGAAGAGAGAAAATAACAAACCCAACAAAACCATGTTGTGTTCAGCCCCACAGACAACCTAAAGAAAGAACGAAAAAGAGGTAGATTAAACAAAGATTAGACTGAAAAACAAGTATTGTGTGTTACAAAGTTAGTTCTTCCAATGCCCGAAACAATGTGTTTGTTTTATACTCTCTGCAAATGGCACATGTAAAATAACAGGGTCTTCCTTTACAATCGTTAGAGATGCAAAATTACCACAACAAACATTTTTCGCGGCTCCTTATTTGCTTCACTTTCGTAGCACGACTTGTGAGCAAGCCACCGACTGAAGAGTGGTGCAGGATCTCTTGAAGGCCTGGATAGGCCCGGATTAGGTTACTAGGTTGACATTACAGTATTAACGGCAGACTGTTCCTAACCAAAATAGTGAGTTAAGTTTAAAGATTTATCAGCTGTTTCTCCAGTCGCTGAGGAAGGTTGGTCTTGTAAACGAAATATCGGCCAGGACCCCAGACACCACCAGATAGAGCAGTCTTAATTAGCGTCCTGGCAAGACGCTTAAATCTCACTGTACCAGCTAGGTGTATAAAATAATCGCCCTTCATGCTATGGAACCAAAGATAAGCTCTGGTGAGATGGTTAACCTTCAGGATCTGAATACAGTTGGGCAGGAACAAACTTCAAAAATATGACCAAAAGAAACCTCTCTTTTCTCTGAAATTAACCCGTCAGTATTGTAGCAGACTATGTTAAAGGTGGAGACTTTGTTTCAATGAACTGAATGATGATTCTACCTGTTTAGCACCACTGACTAGCAAAACTTGTGTTGGTTCACTACAGAATCCCTGCTGTACCACATCATCACCTACACCTAACTGACCATAGTCTGCACGACCCCATGAAAAGATCTGACCATCCTCTGCAAAAACAAAATAACATAACACAACTAAATTAATTTATCATTATGTTTCCAGGAAATTTCTATCTGATCTTCTGAAGATGTAATTTGTTGTATTTATGTGTCACGCTAATTTCGATTTAAAAAAACGAATATTAATCCAGCAGCCATTTTTGGCCGTAACTTTAGTATTTTTACACGTGATTAGCAAACACAGCTTTTGCCTTAAGGCTACAGTTCCCCCTTATTTTCTCTTCAGTGAGTATGGTGACCTATCTTTTATCTCTAGAATAAATATAGAGCAATACCCAGTGCAGAAAAAGAAACAATCGTTGGAAATGTGTTTAAGGCATGTATTCAATGGAAATAACCATATTGATATTTTGAGAAACTAAGGTGTGTAATTTATACACATTGCTGCTGCTGCTGCTGCTGCTGCTGCTGCTGCTGCTGCTGCTGCTGCTGCTGCTAAACGATCATGGGACCCCAGCCCCCTCCTCACTTCCCCCAATTTTAATTCAAAATTAAAGTTTCTATAACATAACAAACCAATATGTAAATTTTGACAAAAATCTCAGGGCAGGTTCTATTTCAGGGGAACCACCTTAAATAGGTAGTACAGTTTATTAATGATTCTGTACAGACAAAACAACAAAATTAATTTAAAGTTAACTTAATATAACTTAATTTACCTTGTTGAACTGTTTTAACTTCTTTTTCACTGTTATAATTCAACATTATTCAGTTTAGTTCTAGGTTATTGCTTGTTAGTGAATGTCTATTGCAAATGTTTTTTTACATAGTATTGTAAATGTGATAATCTGTTTAAATAAATAAAGTACTAATTATTAAACCTGTGATGGCCAGAAGGTGACTCCACCCAGATTTCAGCTGAGTGATATGTTTGTCCGAAATTGCTCCTCTTATCAGCTGTGGATTGGCAAAACTCTGAACACAGTGTTCTGGAGGCCTTCCACACTGTCCATGTTGATTTGAACCCCAGCAAAAGACCTCTCCTGAGGCTGTTAATGCTGCGGAATGATGAGATCCAGCAACTACCTGTACAAACTTCTGACAGCAATCTGGAATACTGACTGTTTATGATAGAAAAACCTATATTAGAAACGTTTGCTATGTCATAAACTTGTAAGTCACCTGCAAGGTCCTATGAACCCTCTCATGTCTAATAGTATACAAAGAGAAATTCCCCAAAATTCAAATTTCTTTTCGCAAAATCTCTAGGAATAAATAGTACCATGCAACAATGCTAAAAGGGGGGATTATTTGAACGGTAACAGTATAGAATTTGTGGTGACAAATATGTTGTGAGTAAAATCTGTTCTCACGTTTAACCAAAATTTCCTTTATCTCCTGTGAATAATTAGGGCTAGAAAACAAGGGGAATTCTGAATTAAACTAGGATGAAAACTCAGTGGTTAAACATGACAAAAGATTAATTCTTACCAACAACATATACTGTCAATATCATACATAGTTCTAGCTTTTGAAACCATGGACCTTACTTTACTTGTATCATAAGGTAAATAATTCTGCTACAGACGTAAATTCTTTTTAAACCTTGCAAAGGAGTCACACTGTTTCTGCTTGTTTTGCCAAAGCCTAGCTGTCCTTTCTTGTTGGCTCCCCAACACCACACAGATCCATCAGCTTTGAAAAACAAAACAGGTTTTTTGCATTGATTGCTAAATAATCCAAAAAGGTTTGTTTCATCCTTAACATGAAGTATTTTGTTATACAATAGTGGTATAAGCTGATCATTGATAATAATAAATTTAATGATCATCAATCAACATCTTTAATAGAAACGATAACTGATTATAGAAAATGTTTAACATGTAGATGTACGTCAACATATACTTCGACTTGCACAAAGTTGAGAAATATATGAAATTTCTTATAAAGGAGTTTTTCCAATTTATTATAATAAATTATCAATTGGGTGGGTCAATGCGAATATTTTCAATGACTGATTGTGAAACCTTAGCAGATTCCCAATAATTTTGGCAATGACAGCAAAACTTCTATTCACAACTTTAATCTTCAAAGCATTTAGCTATTCATTATGAAACAGGAGGACAGCACTTTCATATAAAAATATTATTAAAAAAAATCATTTAAAACAAAGAACTAACAATAATTATTAAAAAATGTTAACCAGCATGTATGGAGACCAGTGCCAGATAGTGTAGCATGGGGCTATTGATTTTTGCTATCAGGCTAGTGAATTCTGTTCTTAATTAACCCGATGGGTAAGCATTAAAGTTTTGGGGAGAATTCAAAGTACAGAAGGGCTGTAATCAGTTCTGATCATCAAAATTTTTTTTCTGTCTAGTTAAAATGACTCTAGGCAAAAAGTACAAGCTACAACCCCGGAAAAAACCTGTTGAGACAAATTGCGAAAATGCCTATTTTTCTATCATCCTGGAAAAACTGAAACCTCCACCAAATGAATGCCCGATTTCCCCCCCCCCCCCCCCTTTTCCAAAGTTGTTTAGGATAGCATGGCAACTATACAAGNCCCGATTTCCCCCCCCCCCCTCCCCTTATCCAAAGTTGTTTAGGATAGCATGGCAACTATACAAGTTGGTTTTTAGACCAAGACAACTTTGAATAGGGGGTGGGGAGGGAACTCACTTTTTCTGTTTAGAGGAGACAGGAGTAGGGTGCAAAAGTTAGAAAATAGATGGAATTGTCTCAACAGTTTTGTCCGGGGTTGTAGCTACAGTTTGCTTGAATGGCAGGCTGTAAAACTGACTTTCTTTGCACCCTGTTGACAAGTACACAGTAGCTCAAATAGTTATCCCGAACTCTAGACAAAGGTATTTACAACTTTTAACATCTATCTTACCTAAAGCAACTATGGAGTGTCTAAGTCCAGCTGCAACACTGATAACTTGTTGATACTCAGTAAATTCCTACTGATGGGAAACAAAATAATGAACAAATATTTCGACTACCACTAATAATATAAAAATTATTACAATGAAACCAGTCCTGTATGATAAAAGCAGTCACTTAAGCCCTGGGGAATGGCCAACTGATTTCTTAAGATAGCTTGGTCTTGTTTGGATGCTATTATGTGGTAACTTGAACCTTAACCACTGTAACTCCTCAAATGTTTTTGAATTAGTACAGTGGAGGAATCATTCATTCAGGAAAGAAGACCTATCAGAAACCTTTCCTTATCAGATAAGTAACAATTTTATTAGGATTTATGTTTGAGAAGATTTTTGCAAGCATACATGCCTGCAACTCTATCAAAGTAAATGGTGGACATGTATTAATGTTAAGAGCTGTTCTATTATTAGCAAGAAAGGTTTCAGAATCCTAGGTGGCTTCAGTTGTCAGTTGCATTTTACTAGCTGCTGTCATGAGAGCGAGATGACCAAAACATGTCCAGATACATGTACATACACAACAAAAAGGCTGCTTACTTGATGTGAGGACATGCAATAACCATTAAGCTTGACAGCTTAATAGAGGTCAGTTTATACTAATAAATGGAGACAATTTCCAGGACTATGGTTCAGATTGCTGTTCAACTCAGGTTAGACTGTAATAGTTAGCAGTTGCAATCTGACAGTTAATGTTCTCAGAAATTATGTTTCTCCCATTTATTAAGGCTGGGACATGTAGGGTCTATTGGTACACATTTCAAAGATGACAACATACCTTGCATAAAGTAGGTCTTGTAAGGTATCCACCAAGTTTTCCAGTGCCTAGCTGACCAAATGCATCAGAACCCCAGACATAAAGACCATGATCTGAAAGTCAGGTAATAATAAAAAACGATATTTCAGTTTAAATACTTTATTCCTAGACAAAAATTAAAGGATAATAACAAAGTCTACAAATAGTTTTGTAAAACAGTGGGAAGCTTAAGGTTTCATTAAAGTGGTTCATAGAATAAAAAACCGAAAAACTGTCTTATGTCTCCATATTAAAACAACTGAGGGACACAAAAGGTTATTCCAACTATCAACCATTGGCGTACAGTAAAGCATACCATAGGTGAAATGCCCAAACTGGCAAGATTTTGGTGGTGACTCATGGCAGGTGGTTGCAAAAAGATGAAGTACAAAATAATTTGACCAGTAAAATTCATTTTGGCATTTTAGAAAGGCGACTGCTTTTGAGGGGTGTCACTCTAGACAGGTGACTGCTGTTTGGATGAGGTGGAAATTTTGTATGCCAAAATTACATTCCTAAAAGGACTTTCTGACATTTTGCTGATTTCAAAAGGGTAAAATGAACCTTTCTCTACCCCCATCTCTTTTAAGCGATATTGCAGTGAGCTACCTGTAAAAAAAAAAACAACTTATCATGGAGGGGAGCAGGAGGATTACTCATATTAATTTTGTTTTCTTCTCTGAAGGACAGTGGTTCAGCAATTCTATGGCTGCAGGCTGAATTTTAAAAAATTTTATGCTTAGTTTAATTATTTTATTTATTACCTATAGTTTATTTATACCTTAGTTTAATTAGTTTAATTATTACCTATGACAGCCACACATGAAGTTTGGCTGTATTTCCAAAGATTTACCTGTGATGGCTAAGGTGTGGTTCCATCCACAAGATACTTGAGTGACAGGAGGAAGCCCCTGAACATGACACAGCACAGCCCTGTCTTCTGTATCACCCAAACCCAACTGACCTTTATTGTTCCAACCACACATGAACAAACTTTGACTTACTATATTGAAAATGCAATTATCATAATCTATGAGAAAGATGTTTTTCAGTCAGTGACATAGGCAGCTCTGAAGAAAAAAATTGAGTACACAAAAGGAGTTGAACCTATGACCTACTGGTTACTATTATGTACTATCACTCAAGAATAATGCACATTGGTAAAATCCAACTAGTGGTCTACTATCAATGCTGCATTCTGATTGGTTGAGCTGCCACTAGACTATATGTTATAGCCCAGTACTAGCGAAAAACGCGGGCTTTTTGGCGGCAAAAAAGGATTAAAGTCTAGCTTTAACTAGCTAATTTTTTTTTATTCTCCATATTTTTGAAAACTAGTTGGATTTTACTAAACAATTATTCCTCTCGCCCTCATTGCCTCTGAGTCAGTAAACCATTCGGCCTTTGGCCTCATGGGCTATTGACTCAGAGCCCATTCGGGCTTGAGGAATAATTGTTAAATATTAATAAATAGTAATATTGCAAACTGAGTTAACCATGGACTCATGTAATAGGTAGGTAGAATATGATCATCTGGGTGAGCGTAGTCCTGAATAGGCCTGTTGTTGACAGTGATTCACACTTCAACAACCTGCACGATAGTCATCTTCAGAGTCAAAGTGAGTTGTATCAGTCATGCCAGTTGGGGGTGTCAACTCTGGTTATTTGCCTGATTTGCCATTTGTGCACATTTTCTCCCATAGAAACATTTTGCATGAGCATTTGTCATTAGTTTCTCTTGAGACAACTGTAATACCCTAGAGAAATTTAAAAATGGTCATGCAAAAATTAGGAGAAAAACAAGGTGTGCCAATTCAGGAAATAAGCGTAGTCCTGCATTCAATACTGCTGTTCTTTCAAATAGCTTAACAATTCATTATCACTTTAGAAGTGCATGCTCGTGTCAAATAACCAAGACAAAATCTGTGTCTCTGAAATGGTATATAAACTTAATATAGAAACCTGTTATGACTGCTGTATGGCCTCCACCACCTTCAATTAAGGCTACTTCTATAGGTTTACATGTATTTTCTGGAGAATCGTCGAAACTTTCAGGAATCAAAACATCATCTGTGTGTCCTAAACACAGCTGTCCGTGACTATTTGCTCCCTAAGAGGACAAAAAGGGTAAAAAGGATTTACCTGTAAGCAGGTAACATAACTCAACAAGGTGTTTTTAAATACCGCATTTACAAACCCACGAAAACAGCTGTGTTTCTTCATTATTTCGTGGAATGCCAGCCGCCATCTTGTACCTTGTGGAGGGAGCCCACTGGGGCACCGGGGCAGCACCGGCGTCTTCTTCGCTAAGAGAAGACGGGAGGAAGAGGAGGTTGGATCGCTGGCGGACTCGCTGGCGCAAACACGCACCCTACATCATGTAAAGCGTAATAAAGTTTCCCCAGTAATCCCACGTCTCTTTCTCAGCCCCCGGGGATGCTCCTTATAATGGTCTATACGGGGAGGCTTCTCCCGAAAGGGGTGCCTTTTTCAGGCAAGGGTAGGGGCTAAGGGTAGGGTAGGGAAATCTGTCATTGCAGTCTGTGAAGAAGACAAGAAACTTTCTGGTTTGTGGTACTACAGTCAACTCCCTCATATACAACCACCTTTGATACACGACAAAGTGGTCGCTTACGAGAAGTGGTCGCTATGAGAGAGTGTTGACTGTATTTAAAAGACGGCGCATTTACAGTTAAAAGGGATGCAGTCAGTCTAAACTAAAACTAGCATTAAGAGGTCACGAGACCAATGCTTCCTTTAAAAAATGAGTTGTAATATTACTAATGCCAAAAATTGACAGAGCACAAATAAATTATCTTACACCCGAAATTTGGGAGGAAACGCATATAAGGAAGATATTTTATGGCACTTTGATTTTTCAACAAAGTAGAATGATTTGTATTGGCCGCCATACTCTTGCCTGCGTGCAGACGTCTCCTATTTCCTTTGTTGCACGCGGAAAAAGGAAATAGGAGACGTCTGCACGCAGGCAAAGTAAATTATAAAGAAATAATTTCCTCGTACACGTTAAATTTTCCGCGCCCCCGCACAAGATTTCGATCGCTCTGCTTTTCGATCGACGAAAAACACAGCACACAGTCGCACATGTTTTGATTTGTTTTGGTTGGAAAACCCCGCTTACATAAATTATTTAAATCACCGCATACATTATCAGACCACATTCGATAACAACCAATCAGCGTTAAGTCAAACAATGTGCACTGTGTGTCAGCCTACCACAGCGTGTTCCCAAGATCTTGGGAACCCAGCGGGACGCTGGAACACGATTAGCGACGGGCGTTACGCAGACGTCCCTTTTCCGCGTGCAACAAAGGAAATAGGAGACGTCTGCACGCAGGCAACCATACTGACCATACTCTTGCCCTCCACAAGGCGGCCAAAACTACTTGTTGCTTATATATTGTTAAACATTTGATAGTTACGCCCAGATGTGCTGTAAACGTTACCACATCATTTTTTCAACATTTCCTTGAAGGTTAAGTCCAAAACTTGCGTTCAGAAAGAGGTAATTCATAATTTTAAAAATCACAATTTTGGTCACATGACCAGCTATGAACTTACTGATTTTAAGAAAATGGTGCGGGTTGGAACCACCAAATCACTATTATTTTGTTTAAGATATTACCCACTAATCGTTTTTCGAAGGCAAAATAGTTTTCATTTTCATAAAAACGATGTCACATGACCTCTTAGTGTAAATGGCCTATCATAGACAGAAGTCCTTGGGACAGTAATCCAGTATTCATATTTTTCTGCCATTTCTAGGTTCCCTCATAAAACGGAAGATCCTTTTCGAAATTTCCTTGCAGTTCTCCGAGACGCAACGAGAGGGCAAAAAAGCGATAGGTTTAGATCAGCAAGACAACTACTTTGCACGTGCATCACGCTTTTTTGTACATTTCTCTGCCGTCTCTCTGCACGACTACAACGTGAAACTGCCTAATTTCACGTTTTGTCGAGGACGGGAACAAAATTTTCTTTTCCTGAACTTTGAAGCAGTCCTTTAGAATTCAACTCCAAAAAAAAATTGGCCAACATTTGACGAATTAAACGAGATGGAATACGCGCGTTTAAGTTTGAGGCAACGCAAATTCACTTTTTAAGTGACGCTTTCGTAAGTAGCGCACCTATGACGTCTTGAGTTCCAATTTGTCATCCAACTTCCACAATTTCGCAGCCACAAGGTGGTATTTTTAAATAAATGTACCGCGTTGTCGCTTTACTTAAAAGTAAAGCGATAACGCCGACTGCTACAATGTATTAGTTTACATAGGTCAGTAAATATGTCTTTAAACGCAGTTTTGAAAAGTTTATTGAACTCTACAACTACGAAACTGCATCCCGGAGCAGTTTTCCTCTTTTTTTATGGAACAGAGTGTACACTATCATACATTTCACATTTTTTTCTTCTTCTTTTTTTATAGTCTGCTACACAGCCGTTTTTAGAGTCGTCACGCAACGCTCCTCCCCACTAGTTTGTGGGGAGGAGCATTGCGTGACGACACTAAAAACGGCTGTGTAGCAGACTACTTTTTTATGGAACAGAGTGTACACTATTATACATTTCACAATTTCAATCAACCTCCAGTCCTGAGACGCTTCTATGCCCACGAAAATTAATTACGTTTCTTGTGATTTTGCAGGAGACAGAAAACACACTTGAATTCAAACTGGTACAGCACATTCACATGAAGAGGAAGAACAAAGACGCAACTTAAGACAAAACAAAAACTGTTCCTTTTTTATGAGCATATCAGCTGCGTCTTAGGCCTGTTTCAAACGTCGTGTTACTGCCGTGCTAAGCTGGCTCGACTGTAGCTCGACTGTAGCACGACACTAGCACGACTTGGTTTCAGACGTCGAATTTAATCCAGTCGAATAGAACCGTTGTTGCCGAAAACAAAAAACAACAATAAAGAAACGGTTTAGCAAACTGTTAAATGTATTCTAATGTATTTATAATCAATGAACTGAGTTCGGCACGGCAGTAGCGCGACGTTTGAAACCAACTCGAGCTACTGCCGTGTAGTACGGCAAAGCTTGCCGTGCTACACGGCAGTAGCACGACTTGGTTTCAAACGTCGCGCTACTGCCATGCTGAAGTCGAATTTAATTCGATCAATTTAGTTCGGCATGGCAGTAGCACGACGTTTGAAACGGGCCTTAAGGCCGCGCCTTATTCAAGTTGCGAAGACATTTTCGGGGATATCTGTACAAGAAGTTCATGTCTTATTCCAAATGCGTCAAATTCCTCGTGGATAAATGGCCCTATTATAGAGACCCTTGATAGCTTATTGTAAGGCCTAAAACGGCCAAATTGCACTTGAACATGAACAATAAAAAAAATTTTTAACCCCAATTTGTCATTTGGAAAGTGTCAAGATGACATGCCACAATGTCCTGACTTATGGCGTGGACATTGTTATCCTGAAATAGTGCCAAGAACCAGTGAGTCCTTTAAAAGTTCATTAAAATTACTTCACTGACAATAATAATTCATCTTGTTCAGTATGGATTTCAGCCCCCTCCTTCATCAGGGTTTGAGCTCTCATTACCCGATGAGTCTGTCTGAATTGCAATACTCTCTGAGGAGTTTCGGGACTCAATGCTACAATCATCACCATTTGATCCACTGTCTCCATTGTATTGGTTAGCAGTGCCCTGTCCTCCAAGGTCTTTGCGCAAGCCATTGAATAAAGGAAACCCCATAGGAGGTGCCTGATATCCATACGGCGTCATCCCTGCATGTACATATGGCAGTGGAAAACCAAAGCTGGGACTTGGTACGTGAGGAGACACACCATAGGCCGTAGCACCTGGCTGTACCATTGGAAATGGCATCTGTGCATTGCCATTAAACATTTGTGTGGAAGGTGTTGGTAGTGGAATATTCGGGTGCAAGACCACTGGAATAAAATGTGTACCTGCAGGATGGAGTGCATAGGTTGGCAAAGTATAGGGAGGTGGCAGGAAGGGCGTGCGCAGAGGAATGTTGCCTGCTTGGGGAAGCATGGATGGGAATGTGGGTACAGAGGAACCATTAGTGTCTCCTCCCCTGCTGCCATTTGTAGTTTTAATGCCATTGCCATTTGTTCTGTTGCCATTTTCAGCCTCCTTTCCTGAATTACCCTGTATCTCAGACATCTCTTCATCAAGGCATATGGCTGAATCTGTCTGGTTTTCTCTGGAATTCTCTGAACTGTTTTCATTGTCACTGCTGTTGGAGGTGTTCCCATTGCTGCTACTACTCGGCAAGCCATCACCACTGCTACTGTGATGGCCATGTCGAGCTCTTTTGGCCTTCCCTCCACTTCCACTGCCACTCCGTTCTCCATTGCTGGAAGAAGTGGATGATGAAGAAGACGTAGTGCCTTGAAAGCTTCGCTTAGATGTGGCCCGTTTCCCACCATCTCCACTGCTTTTCCCCTTGGGGGAGACTTGGGACTCTGCCATTAGCTGTATCTGGTGCCGCAGATGAGCCATAAGCCTCTGAAAACAAGGCTGTTGCATGTCCATTGCCTCAACATTCACCAAGAAACGAAAAACCTCTTCTGTGCAGTCCTTGTACCCTCCAAAGTGAGTCACTGGTTTGACCTCCACATCTTTACTTTCACCATCTGCTGGATCGGTTTCTGTCGTCTCACCTGAAAAATTAACCAAATACCTTCAATGAAACACAACCATTTTCTTATATTTACTTCACTGAGAGAACGTCTGAGAGTATGGGGCTTAAAAGAGAGGGGGGCTTATTCCTTTTAACAAAGATTTTGGTATCAATAATATTATTAACCATAAAGTCCTGTCATATGGAAAAGCTCAGGCAAATAACGTTGGAGGTTATGTAGCTGATGATCAAAAGCACATCTGAACTTCCAGCACGTGAATCAACCAGGCAGGATCAGTCGTGTCACAGTCATGATTAATATCATGAAATCATTATGATATCATTCCCAGGGTCCGAAATTGCGCCTTCCTGGTCGCCAATGGGACTAAAAATTTAGTTCTGGCGACCAGAATTTCATAGCTGGTCGCCAGCTAGCGACTTGTAAAGCAGGTTGTTATTGTGGACTTAAACGTTTGGAGAATTGAAACCTCGAAGCTATTTGCCAACAGGTGTCTTACTTTTTGTCCTGCTGATATTTTTTAATTAAAAGTGAAACGAAGCTTCCTTTAATAATACCTCCACAACAGCTACTATCAATACGAGTTGAACGTTTCCAAGCGGCC